GAAAAGGGCCAAATGGCAATAGATTCACATTTTGCAAGGGCCAAGAGCCAATTTTCTATGTAAATTTCTATACTCAATAAAGTTCATACAAAGATAAAAGTCACACAGAAAGAAACAAAACCAAAAAGAATTCACTGCCAGATGACTCGCACTTGAAATGCTACTGGAAAAACTGATGTTGAAGAGAAATGATATGGGATGGAAAACTCGGATGTTCCAGAGCAACAAGCACCGGAAATGGTAAACACGAGAGTACATGTAAAAAACTTCTTTTTCCTCTTAGTTAAGAAATGGGGTGGGGGGGTTTGAGAACTGGCTTACTAATGAAAAGTACTGACTACTCTTCCAGAGGCCCTGGGTTCAATTCCCAGCATCCACATGGCAGCTCACAACGGTTTGTAACTCCAATTCCATGGGATTCAACACCCTCACACAGACAGACATGCAGGCAGAACACCAATGCGCAGAAGAAAAGGTGGTCTTTTAAGACAGATACTATAATACTGCATGATGAACTCTCTGTCTAGGTAGGTATAATACATAGGCCAACTGAAGCCCGAAGGTTAGAGGAAGAGGAGGTGGGTCGTGGGTAAATGACTCATAAATGTTGAAAGCTTCATGATGAAGGCAATGTGTAAAATCACAGGGTTGTTCAGGAAGTGATGCAATGTTACCACTAAGTAGACCACAAAAGTTAAAACTGGGCTTTGTGATGCCAAGGCAATCCCTGCCTCTACCAAAAAAAGCTAATGGGCTAGGAAGAGCTCTTAGTAAAGTGCCCGTCACACAAGAACGAGGACCTGAGTTCAATTGCACATGGAAGAAGCCAGCTGTGACGGAACACACTTGTAATCCCAGTGCTGGAAGGCAGAGACAACACACAAGAAAGATTAAAACGGTGTACTTAAGTTCTATCACATCAGTACTAGCTTTAAATATCACATTAAAATTCAAGATAATCAGGATGAATTTTTCTAAGTCAGTACTATTCTGTCTTTAGGATGATTCATTTTCTTTAAAATGTTTTATTGTATCTACTTATTGTGTGTGTTTTTATATGTGGGCACGGGCTCTTTGGTGTTTGAGTAGAGGTCAGAGGATAGTGTGAGGGAGTCAGTTTTCTCCTCCTACTGTGTGGTTCCTGGGGGTTAGGCTCCAGTCAATCAGGAGTACCTTTGTCCATGGTGCCATCTCGCCAGCCCCGGTACACATTAAACGTAAAGAGGTACCCTAAAAGCGACAGGCTAGAGAAGGCTGGCTATATAATCAACAATTTCAAGAAACTGCCGTGACAGCTATTATTAGATAAATGTAACTCAGGAATATTACTGATGATATGGTGCGCAGGCAAAAGTAACTGTGTGGGAAAGTGGGAAGAATCACGTGCGTGTGTGTGTGTGTGTGTGTGTGTGTACACCAGAACTTGAACATCTGGTAGAATTAAATAGTATAATACACAAATATACAGAGGAGAATGCATCCTGACCAAACATGCAACATCATATTAACATTAGAAAATTGACCACTGTCATTTACCATGTTAATAAAATAAAAGCACTTTCAAAAAATGTAGAAATACCACCTAATAAAATTTAATACCAATTCTCTTAAAATTTTCAACACACTTGGTCTCAGTGAGCCAGAATCCGTGTGTCAACATGCTCCCTTCTAGACTCAGTGTGTTGAAAACTTTAAGAGAATTGGTATTAAATTTTATTAGGTGGTATTTCTGCATTTTTTGTGTTGTTTTTATTAAAATGCTTGTAGCAGTCGGTTATAGCCACCATGGAAAACCAACACAAGAAGATGGAGATGACCGTGACTCATGATGACTCAGCTTTAAGATGGTATGAAGGACAGAAAAGACGGCTTCAGAGGGAAAAGCACTTGCAAGCCAAGGCTGATGACATGCATCATAGAGGGAGGGACCCGCATAGTGGAAGGAGAATCACCGGTTCCTGAAAGTCGTCCTCTGACCCCCATGTGCACACCCCGGTATATGCATGCATGGCGTCACAATAACTGTTTTCTCTTTCAAAGATGGCATGAGAGTAGTATTCACTCAATAGAAATGGAACTTAAGAGTTTGGATCTTTGCTGGGCTAGCAATTTGCTCTGATGGGGATCTAGGCCACAGCACAGAGCTGCAGTTCCGGGTAACAACCACAGGGGAAACAGTGGCCACTACAGTGTGCAGTGTTGGTGGGCTGTGCTGTTTAGCATGCTTCTCGATGGTGTTCTGGGCCTACGCTGGATTGTTCTAGATTCTAGATTTCTTATTCGAGAAAGAATCAAAAGCCCATGCATACTGCAAAGCAGTGAGGACATTTAATTTAAAGCAAAGTGATAGGAGGAGAGAAGCAGCAGGTGAGTGAAGACACCCGAGGGCCGCGATTATTAACTGGGGCTTCTTTTTATGGAATTAAAGAAGAGGATTTTGGCTAGTACATATCACAGTGAAGGTGGAGTCTCTATTTTGGTTGATAGATTTAACCATAAAATAAATTTTTTTGCTTCATATATCCCTCCCCATAATGCCTCTAATTTTATGAATTTATTTTTATTTTGTATGTATAAGTGTTTGCCAGTAGATATGTCTGTGTACCATGTGCTTGCAGTGCCTGCAGGGACTAGAAGAGGGGGTCAGAGCCCCTGGAACGGGACTTACAGCTGACCATGAGCCACCGGGTAGGTGCTGGGACTGGAACCCTGGTCCTCTACAACAGCCGGTGCTCTTAACGGCCATCTCTCCAGCCCGGTGCGTGTATTTTAGTCAGGTACACCCAATCGTGCAAAGTGATAGTAGGCAATTTCCCCCTAAAGGTTCTCTTGAGAATACGTTCGCCTTATGCATCTATACCAAACTAGTTCACATATATGTGATCAGTCGCCTACATAAGGTGAATACAATAGTATAAACGCTGTCTAAATTTGATGGATGGGAAGACAAGAAGAAACCTACTCCATTGCTGAGAGGGGAGTATGTGTACAGCTTAATGCACAGGGAGGTCCCAGGTTCCCAAATTAATGCCAGGTACATTATTCAAAGAGAGGTGTCTGCAAAGCCTAAGCCAACTCAGATTGCTAAGCTATGGATGCCTTTATTAAGTTCTTAAATAAAACAGCAGGAACTTGGAATCACCTGGTCCAGATTCCAAGAAACAGTAATAGTAGATAGGAAACAGGAATCCAACTTTGACAATTTTTATTACATGTATTTATTCACTTGAGGGGGATGCAAGTGCCACAGGACTCATGTGAGGTCAGAGGACAGTGTGGGGTATTTGGTCCTCTCCTGCCATGTGGGTCCCAGGGATGGAACTTGGTACATAGTGATAGACAGCAAGTACCCTTACTGTCTTGGCCATCTTGCAGGCCCATGGACATAATTTTTAAATACACACACACACACACACACACACACACACACACACACACACAGAGTATACAAGAATGGCTGCTGATGTAAAAGAAAAATAGAAATGGAGAGAGAGGAAACTGAGTGTCAACAGAAATGAGACAATTAGATAAAAGTTTGCCAAGATAAAGTTAAAGTTCTAAGACAAAGTCCAAAAGAGTGCGAGAGAGAGAGAGAGAGAGAGAGAGAGAGAGAAGCCATGTGGTGGTGGCTCACACATTTAATCCCAGCACCTGGGCTGCTGCAAGAGGCAGGTGGATCGCTATGAGTTCAAGGTCAGCCTGGTCTAAGATTTAGTTCCAGGACAGCTGGTGCTGTCTCAAAAAAAAAAAAAAAATCAACAGGGGGAAGGAGGGAGAGAAAAGAAAAATAAAGGCAGGACCAGTTTGAGCGACACAACATCTGCAATTAATACCAGTCCAGAAACTGAGTTTTAAAAAAGAAAGAAGAGAGATTGTAAAATACTTAATTGAAAGAAAAATCTGGGGGCAGAGGTTAGGTCGGAATGAAAGCTCAGTTAACCGGCATTGGTGGGACTGGTGAGATGCCTCAGCGGTTAAGAGCATTTATCGTCCTTCGCGAGGACCCAAGTTCAATTCCTAGCACCCATGTGAGGTGACTCATGACCATTTTAACTCCATCTCCGAGGGGCTGCAATAGCCTCCTTTGGAACATACACACAGAACCACACAATAACCCTCCCTCCAGGAACCATGCGAGGCTCGCTTTGCCTAAGTACAGTCCTGTCCCAACGACTCTAGTGTTAGAACTCGTAGAACTGTAGTAAAATATGAATCATGCCTATCATATCTGCTAGTAGGTCGGCACGCTGTACAAGAGGTACATTCATATTAACATCACATCGCCTGCAGGAGTGTGATTCTTCCCCTTGGCCGATTTCCACACTTAAGCTTTTCCCCAATAAAAAATAAGAAAAAAGACAAAGTGAAAGCTAGATTTGTGCTGGGACACTTTGAGTGGAGAAGGGGTCCATGTCGTTGCATCTCTTATCACTAAGGCGCACAACCAGGCTTTCAGCTCCCACAAGCCTCATGATCCCAGTTGTGGAGATAAAACAAAACAAAACAAAGAACAATAAATAAATAAATAAATAAATAAATAAATAAATAAATAAATAAAT